AAAAAACACATACAATGATCATATAACAATTTTACAAAAGAAACAAAACCACCAAATTACAGAAAAGAAAACCCACAAACTAACACAAATATGAGGGTCTGGAAAACACCGGCACAGACGACATGGAACACAAAACAGACGAGTGAGTGTTCCTTCTATTCTTGATTGCAGAACAACGTCGACTCCCTACAACCACACTGGAAACACAAAATTGGGCAGAGAAGGAAGACCCCAAATACCTTTAGAAAAGAACAAAATCATTAACCACCACACTAATGTCCAATTCTGTCCCCTCCTCCAATGAGAGCCAAACTTACCCAGCGACAACCACAGTCTAGCACGCTGAACAATCACGCTTCTTTAATGTTTGGATATGTTTGACTCCCGAAGTCTCTGGCTAGCTGCGTTGCATATGCCTAAAACATGCTGAAATAATATCCACGCTCTAAGGCAATAATACAACACACACAAAAAAAACAATCGCCAGTGGGTTACTAGTGGGAGGAACAACCCATGGGATAAGTGATGCGCCCCGATAGCAATGCATAAAGACTATTTGTACATTCATTCAAACATAGAAGGGATTTTAAATAGAATAGGGAAAGTAGTACCTGGTCACACTTAGATCAGCGTACAGCCATATACCTGCAGGCGCCCTTGCCCCTGGAATACGATCTGTTCGTTTCACAGGACAGACATACAGACTTTATAATGTTTTTACAAATGAGAACTAACAAATGAGGATAATGAGGAGGTTTTGACAGATTTAGCTCACTTCTGGGTACAAATGTGTGCCTAAAATATGGTTTGTAATACACACAGACACACACAGTAGACTAACCAAAAAGTACCATTGTTTGGCCACGTACCATAGTAGTATCATGCTATTCTTTGATGAATCAGTCATGGTATAAATCTCAATGCATAGAGTATCTGATATCATTACAGTACCATAATATTTATTAAACTTCAGATGTGAGACGTTTGTCTTAATATTTCCTCCACAGACCGCCCTGTCATTAAAGTTAATGCTATGGTTGGAGAAGCAGCAGCTCTTCCCTGCATGTGTCCTCCTGACTGGCCTCCGTATCTGGTCTGGCAGAAGTCCATCGGTGATCAGGCACTCGTGGTTAATTACTACAAAGATGACGACCAAGAAGACAACCAAATGGCACTCGAGTACAGGAACAGAACAGAGCTGAGGCTGACAGGAAACTGTTCTCTTGTGATTCATAGTGTGTGTCCATCAGACCAGGGACTGTACATCTGTTACTATAAGAAAAAACCTTTAAGGCATGAAAAAATCTATCTGGAGGTCACAGGTCAGTATCAGCATTTATTTCGCGTTGTACTTGCATATCACATACTCATATTATGAAGGGAAAGTGTATTTTATATGCTTTTATATGCCATTTTTGTGTTCACTTGTTCATTTTAATGGTCCTGTGGTGTAAAATCAAAATATGTAGCCTTTAAAATGATTTAATCTGCATACAAAAAGTGGTTTAAAATAAAATAAATGGAGCATAACATCAACATGTATTTTGTGTCAACTACCTGTTTATAAAATTATGGTTTATAACTTTGCATATTTTTGTTCTTCACATATTCAAACTTATCAAAATAATTTTACATATAAAGTGAACCTCAACATAAACACCAAGATGAAAAGCCAAACATATTGTTTTTAAGTTATTTAATTTGATTAAATCAATAAATATGTTACCATTGATTCTTAATTCAGCACTATGGAAGCTTATTTCCACAATGAAGTAAAAAGAAAAAAAAATATTGTAACTTTTTTTTCTTGCAGTTGCATGTTTATATCTCTCAATTCTGAATTTATATTTTACAATTCTGACATTATATCTCGTAATTCTGACTTTATAATCTCTCAACTCTGAGTTTATATCTCACAATTCTGAGTCTATACAAAAGTCAGAATTGCGAGACCAAGTGAGAATTAAGATATAAGTCTGAACTGTGAAATAAAAAGCGATTACCTTTTTTAAAATTCTGTGGCAGAAATAAATACTACACAACTTTTGCAAGACTTTTACATGTAGAATATACAATAAACTCATTCAGAATTTTAAAACTAAATGTGAGCTCTCTGAACGCTTGTGTGAGAAATAAGGAGATCCTTCTTTTTCTTTTACTTACACAATTGACTTCACAATGCTTATTTTATCTGTGTTTATCTGTCTGTTCCCTGGGAACTGGAGCCATTGTTTTGCTGTAGACCTTAAGGTCATATTTTATCTCATTGCTACCATACTGAGTATATGTCAGGTTACAGAGTTTGCATCCAAAAGAAAGCTTTCTATTGAGACTTAAGACCACAAACACCATTTCACTATTCCACACAAATATACAATGAACTTCTATTGTTCTTGTAGCACAACAAGTACAAGGAAAAGAGTCAGAAGAACCTCAGAGCGTCCAGAGCAACATTGTGATTTCTTCAGTCTGCGGGTTTCTCGTCATTTTGATCACAATTGCTGCAGCATATGTGGGAATTACTTGCAGAAACAGACATCAGATCAGAAGTAAGTCCATTTTTTCCCCTTGTGACCTAAATGTGCTCATTGCAA